TATAAACAATTCTATCATCACACAAGCATATATCATAATCAAACTCAACTATTGAGATACGGGGCTCTGCCCCACTCCAATACTAACGTACATCTATACGGGCCGACTTGGTGCCTTAGACCGTCCTACTGAAAGGAAAACTCACATCACACTGCTCAAGTCCCGTAGACCACAATCCCACACTGATGAAGTCCCGCAGACTCAACCCCAGCTATGGCTGACAGATTCCGAACTGTCAACATAAAAATAAACACCCAATTAATAATTGGGTCCCACTACATAACCATAAGTACATTCTTTGGGTAATTTAACATTACCCCTAGCTTGGCTTATTCAAGCCAAGGACCCAATCTATAGGCCCAAAGTCAATTAGGAATCAAAGCCCAACACATGGCCCAATTTTCCAAATTGGGCCTAGGCCTATACATGGTCTCATTTAAGGCCCAACATCATATAAATCGTTAAGGCCCAAACTATGGGCCCATCTATGGCCCCAATTTTCCAAATTGGGCCTAAACCCCTTACATGGGCCTACCCTAGGCCCATTAAATTATTCTAGTTTAATTGCTTGCTCTTGGATGGTCCATTATTATCTCAATCATTTAGGCCCAATATAAAGGCCCAATAATATGACCCAAGTGAAATTAGGGTTCACATAAATGATGATTAGGGTTATAGTTTCCTACTTAACCCATTAGGACATAATCCTTTAAGGACTTAATCCATTAAGTCCAATATGCTTGATTAATCTTGCCAATGATTATTATTTAATATTCCCAAGTTATTAATAAGTCCGTGTGTCTCCGATAAATTCCCAAAATTAGGGTTTTGATGGCATTAGGGTTTTCCAACCCTAATTAGGGTTTCCAACCCAAATACTAGCCCATTTATTAATTGTTGGGCTTTTAGGTCATTTAGAGCCTTATTGGGCCGATTAAGGTCTCTTTGGGTCAATTAGGGTCCATTAGACCCATAGGGTTCCTTAAGCCCATTGATCACATGTTTGGGCTTTTATGTCCATTAAGCCTCATTGGGCCCATTAGGGTTTTAGTCCCTTGTCCAAACATCCCAAACTAGCAATCCCAACACAACTAAGCACACCGCCACCCGAACGGCGGCGGTGGCGGCAGGAGGCGGCAAGCCACCACCTCACGGTGGTGGTTAGGGTTTCTTTCTCATTATTCCCTTTTCTTTTACAATTTACAATGAAATCCAAAATTCACACACACCCTAACTAACGTAAACACACATACATGGCGGCCAACCTGGTGGGCAGCCACCACCGTGGCTTTTCTGTGATTCCCGGCTAAACCAAAACACCCAAACACACATAATACAATTGGAAACACAACCACACACACTAACCACGCACTTGAAGCACATCACACACCCACACAAACTCACAGCCACCAGATGAAACATGGCGGCGATGACAGAAGTAGAAGAACTCGCGGCAGGTGGTGGTACTTCGATGTAACAGTGGAGAAAGGCAGGAGCGATATTCGCGTTCACAGCAGTGGCGCCAATGACCGGGAAAGAGCACCATTCGCCACAAAATGGTGTCCGGCGACGAGATGGTCTCCAACGAGGACGCCAGCTGCGCGATGTCGGAAGGTGGAACAGCGTTGTGGTATCTCGGGCGAAGGAGCGGCGGCAGCGGGCTTCTAACGGCCGGAGATGATGGCGGCTACAACTCGCTTCCCTTCGCTATTGACTGACAACATCATCACCACGATGGTCTCCGTCTTCAGCAGCGACAGAAAGACGCCATGGGAGGCTCGTGGTCGGAGAAACAAGGGGGATAGGGTGGTGGCCGGCGGGGAGGCATAAGGGGGGAGAAATGGCGGCTGTAGATCATGAGGTGGGTTAGGTTTAGATGGGGTTATATATCCCGTAACTTGAAACTTCACCCCATAATAGCAAGTCTAGTCCCTCTCTATATAATTCTTTTCAACTATGATCCAAAATTTACCATTTGAACCCTGCCTCCTGAATCCTTTACAATTGAAGTTCCAATTTTACCTTTTCTACCCTGGCATTGGAATTCTTCTTCAAATTAAACCCGACAATTACACAGATCCCTTATCTTCATAAATATTACAAACTGAGTCGGGGACTCACATTTTAACCCCTGACTTCTAAAACTGTGACAATTGCTCCTCGAAATCATCCTTGTATAGATATATATATATATATATATATGATATATATCTATATATATATATATATATAGATATATATTATAGATATATATATATATATATTTTAGGGCTACCATTTGCTCATTAATTTATTTATTTATCTAATAAATAAACAGGGTGTTACACTTGGAAACCATTTGCATGTATAATTAGTGAAAACATAGATCCAAGGTATTTAGGGTTGTATGTGTACCATAGGATGTTGTAGTATACTAAAACGCAATAGGAGCAAGGATAGACCCATCATTATAACCTACAAGTTTTTGATAACCAAAAAGAGGCAACATTGATCTTCGCCATAATAGATAGTTGGAGGAAGAAAGCTTAATGGTAAGCATGTGAATAATTGTAGCAAGAGGAAGAGGGGACTCGACAGACTCAGTTCCGACGGCCATGAAGATCAGCGAAGATGAAGAAGAAAGAGGAGGCCATGAAGGAATTAGGTTGATACCATAATATGGTTTTGGAAAAGTCACCGTATCTTGGGGATGAGTATATTGATATCAATTTATAATACAACAATACAATAAAATAAGGATATACAAAACAACTTTCCTAAGTTATAGGATCTTGAGAATCGGCTTTATCAGTAGTAGTAGTAGTACTGCTTCATGAATTGTTTGACATTATAATTGAGCTTTGATTAGAATTGGTCCAAGTCAAATCAAATTGTATTGTATGCTTAAGATTTCTACATAGGGTTATTGTCACTATAGCCCAACAATGTTTCGTATATTGGTTTAAATGGTCCCTCGTGATTTTTTTTTTGCCTTCGAAGGGTATGAACTTGTGTTTTACCTGTTAATTTCCTACCTTTACCCATTTTTTATGGTTACACTGCCTTGTTAATTGCCAACTAAGCAGGTGAGTCAACAATGACTCAGTAGTGAGACGACTTATCGTTGCCACGTAAATTTGTTACTAAATTTGTGGGCCCCTCTTTTAATATGCCTTGTTCATCATCACCACCACCATCTCCATCTCCTTCACCTTCATTTATATTCAAGCTTAAACCCACATTGATTTTTGTTCTGGTCTTCCCTTTCTACATCAGTATTCTCATAAACTGAAACAAGATCAAAGAACTGAGAATACATTGTCATTACCCAACTTGTGATGCCACCTAAACCAGGGGGAGCTTTTGTATTTCTTCCATTTTTATGACCAAGGCCATCTTTAAAATTAATAAGAGGAGAGCGTTACATTTACAAGAATCTTTATCTTCCTCTTAAAATTCTGAATCAAAGAGAAAGGAGATTTCTTTGACACGTGGCTTCCACTTTCCCATTCAAGGAGTGGAGAAGGCTGCTGCCTGCTGCTTACTTAAATATTCTCCAATACGACAGTCGGGCATGGCGGAACTGCCGGAGGTATAAGCATACAGAACACGAACACGAACACGATCCAGATGGTGATGCAGGTAAGCTGCTCTCGTGTAGGAGGTTTGAGTGTAACAACAAATAGAATTGTGGGTATTGAAAGATGAAGTATGGAAGCGTTGCCAACCCTCCTCCGATTTCCTCACTTTGACTTGAAAATTTTCTCATTCTCATCTTCTTCCTTTAAGAGATTCTCCCCTTCGCAATCATCTTGGATGTTTCCGTTACGATTCAACATCAAGAATAGTTCCGATAAGAAAACCGTCGTCGGTATCAACACCACCAAGAGGCGACAACACACCAGCACCAACAACAACTACAAAAAAAACCGTACGTAAAAATATCTCCCATACGGAAATCACCGGTAAACATGTGGTGGATGATAATTACTCAGAAATCAAAGGAAAGCTAGTAGACAAAACCACAGACAGACCAGTCAGCTTGCGTAGTTTATCCCAAAATGGTGATCCTCTTGGCCGAAAAGATTTGGGGAAATCGGTGGTCAAATAGATAAGCCAGGGGATGAGGGCAATAGCCATCGATTTTGGGGAGGCGAAGTTGCAGGGAAAGTTTTTTGAGGTCAGACAACGGATGGGTCCAGGTCTCACCTTTGTTATACAAGCTCAACCTTACATCGGCGACATTCCAATGCCCTCCGGTCTTGAATCGCTTAAAAGCCTACACTTACTACCCTACACTCTTCAATAATTTATCATTTCCAGAGAGAGCTAAGGGACGCCCTTCCACAACTTCAACATAAATCCTTGATTGAAGACTGGCAAAAAACCGAGTCATGAAGAACAGAGTGAAGAACCACAAGAATGTTGATTGAAATCAAAAGAGACGCTGCTATCTTTTCTCATTTGAACCTCCGATTTCTTGTGATGCAATTCATACGTGATTATTGATTTTCTCTAAAACGAGAAGCAGAAGGAGTCTTCGTTGATTTCATGGCCATCACTATTGAATTTAGGGTTATTGTCGGCCCTATAACGTGGCAATTGAGGTGGGAATCAAATAATTGACTTTGCATATTACCCTGCTGACTAGGAAAAGTTTACCGGATGACCCCTTCAATTTTTTCAAAATGACATTTTAAACCTTAAAAACATGAATTCGTACCCTTACAATGCAAAAAATAAATAAATAAATAAAATAAAAAATAAAAAAATCATGAAGGTCCATTTAAACCAATATACGAAACATTGTTGGGCTGCTATTGAATTTAGGGTTATTGTCGGCCCTATAACGTGGCAATTGAGGTGGGAATCAAATAATTGACTTTGCATATTACCCTGCTGACTAGGAAAAGTTTACCGGATGACCCCTTCAATTTTTTCAAAATGACATTTTAAACCTTAAAAACATGAATTCGTACCCTTACAATGCAAAAAATAAATAAATAAATAAAATAAAAAATAAAAAAATCATGAAGGTCCATTTAAACCAATATACGAAACATTGTTGGGCTGCTACAGTAACAATAACCCTTCTACATAAAACTACACAGAATACAAAACTTTTTCAACAAAGAATGAACTAAATTGAGATTTTATTTACAATTGCAATAACGGAAATGAACTATGTCCCTAAATTAAGATTTTATCAATTTTTTGTTTCAACAAGGGTTTTTAGCGGTTCCAGGTCACTAGTTCAATTGGGTAAATACTCGGCCGGTTTAATCCGGTTCAGAAATAAACAAAAACCATTGATGATTGACCCGCTCTTTTCCCTTGGCCACATGTCACTCTTTTGCACCTCCAACTTGCCACATGTCATTACCAGGGATTTCTTATGCCTCAAATTCCCGCCCATTCTTTACACCAAAAAATCGATAAATCAACTCCTATAAATCAGCTCACACATTTTCAATTACCTGCAAATAAAAACTATAAAAACTGATATGAATCCTATATTTATGGTCAATCCTACATTTATGGTTATTTGTTTTATAGCATATATTTTGCAATTAAAAACATAAAAATCGACATTATCATCTCCTGTAATCAGGAATCAAATAACCCAAATCGTTGACTATAATTTCGTTTTTTTTTCTGCCAGCTATTTGTAGATCATAATCATAATCCTCTACCGATTTTCAAATTTAAATCAATTACTCACTAATCAAATCCATAAAAATCAGGAATAAAATCTGCAAAGTAAAATACTTTTCTGCAATTAATAAAATTATTGTGCTTCATTACTCTCTGCATATTTATATGAACCTATCGAATTGCACATAATCTTCTACTGCTTAGCCCTCAAATTTGACTTTCTTATCTGCTATGCTCTACCGATTTGCAAAAGGTTAGTAATACAATCTTTCGTATTTTTTTTTCTTTTAACATCAAACTCCACATCTATTTCTGTAATTTCAATCATTCTTAGTTCTCTTTTTTTTTTTCTGTCTTTGTCTTGAGACTGTAATTCGTTTCTTTTAACATCACGATGGAACATTGGATAATGATGATAGTCCTTTGTTTGTTGAACATATGTATTTGTATTTTGGTTTGAAGTCTGAAAACATATATAATTTTAAACTTACCGGTCTGTGATTGTGATTGTGCTTGAGAATGAGACTGAGTGCTTTTTGCGCGTGACTTACACTTTGAGAATCTTGTGCAATCCCAAGAACTACCAGAACAGATCTGGAAGAAAAAAAAAGCAAGGTGTTATGAATGAGTGCAATGGACATCGTTAGTTTGTTATGGTTATAGAGAGAACCTTGGAAGTGAAGATCTTAAGTCCGGTTGAGTCGCGTAGGAAACCAAGGGAGCCTTGATTACAGGCTGTTTATTCAATGATATATCCAGCCGTGCAGGAGGAAGATAATAACACAATTCACATTTCATAAATCAAATATTTACAAAAACAAAAACAAAAACAAAAACAAAACAAAAACAAAAAATTTCAATCATATTATTATTAGCTGAGTAAAACCCCGAAAGATTGAAGTTTTGTTAGCTGAGCACATTCAAGAATGTTACCCACAACTTTAGATTCTTCCATATCTAAAGAAAACAATAAATCATTAATTTTGGTAGATAAAAATATGTAATAATAATAGTAATACTCACCTGCTTCGTGACAATGTCAGATAGAATCTCCATAATAAAATCCACCTGTATTATATTAATTATCACATATTCACATCACATGATTACTTCAAATGAAATATCTGTATCCAAATCCAAAACACCCCATTGCAACTTACCATGGAAGGAAATGTACCAATGGTCTGGATTATGTTCGCATGAACAGCATTGGAAAAGGAGTCTGCTCAACATGCATATAAATATAACGTTTCAGTTAATTTTTTTTCAAAAACAAAGTTGACCGGTCGACGTCAACCTAAATACATACCAATTGGTTTAAAACTTTTGCTAGAACTTGTTGGGTAAATATCTGTTGTTGCTGTAAGCAACTGTTGCATGCATCTGTAACCTTCTTATGCAAAACATAAATTAAACAAATTGAGCAGTTTAGTTGAATAATGAGGAGTCGAAAAGGAAAAATAAAATATTTACTAATACAAATACATTCCTTCTTTAAGGGAATGCCATCTTTCTCAGGATCGATGCCATGGATACCAATTAGTACTTCAGTTGGAGTAAGAACTGGACTTTGGCCACCTTAAGATGATTCCTGTATAATAACAGGACGTAAATTAGGGTTGAAGTATACACAACTTCGTGTTTGTGTGGGTTTCAAACTTTAATATTGGACTTATTTCTCAGATTTAACATAAGGTGTATAAATTGATATAGTTAAAATTAATACCTGTACAGATATGGCCACTTTAAGAGGTTATTGTGTGATACAATGCTATGGATCAGATATAGATCATTTGTATTATACATAAAATTGAAGACCTTACCATACAAATATACAAATCTCATATAATTTAGAAGGTATATCAAATAAAGTAAATGTCTTATTTACTCATATGATCCCCTGAATAATCATGAACGGGATTTTGTCTAAAATTTAGCAAATTCAAAATTCAAATGTTTAAACAAACACTTAAATTTCAAAAATCGAACCAAAAGCATATCTACCTTATTGTGTTTCCGCTATTAACGAATTTGAGGGTATTCTTTTGAACGACTTCAGTTTTCGCTTATATCTTCAGATACAACATTTCTGGAACAAAAAAAACAGGTAAAATTTCTTCGACATAATCTATTTTCTGTTAAAAAAACTAAGATTAACCATCAATTGATCATCTCTTACCTTCAATCTTGCTTTCTTCAAAACCCAAAGTTGTGTTTATTCAGTCTCTGAGTTCGACATCGGGTATTACTTAATGTAAGCTTTTCTTCGCTTCACATTTCTAATCGGTTGTGTATTAGTATCTTCCTTCATCGATATAGATGTATAAACGTTGACACCCTTTCAGAAATCAAATGGTGGTTGTGGAAATGTGTATGTAATCGAAATTCTAGGTCTGGGTTTTTGTTTGAGCGTTTGTGTTACAGACAAAAGGGGAAGGGGAACGTTTTGGGAGTACCGATAACTGTTATGTGGGTTTTTTTATAAATTAAAAATTATGAATAATCATTAAAATGATTAAAATGATATATTTTTTTTAATTTCTCATGTATTTTAATTACTTTATGCATAAACATGGTCTTAAATATCAATAAAATATCTTAAACATTTGAAAAAATTACATTATATATATATATATATATATATATATATATATATATATATATATACTAGTGAATTTCTAAGAACCGTGCTGAGCACGGCCCATGAAGGGTAATTTTGGAATTTTAAGAACAATGTGCAATGTATTATCTTAAAAGGTTTCAAATGAATTAAGTTTTGTTGATTTAGATGTTTGGAAGTTGGTTAAAGGTATATATGCATATTGTTTACAAAATCAGATAAAATATAAAAATTACAGTTAAAATGCATATAAATTGAAAATGGTATATAACTAATATTTACAGAAAATATTTTGTATGGTAATCATTTATACATATAATAAGGTAACTGATTCATTAGAAACTTGTATTTACATACAATGCAGACTATGAGAAGCTGCTATCAAAAGTAATGGCCTATATACACCAAAAGAAGCTAAGCCATTAACTGCGGTTACTTAATATCTACATTGTTAAGTACCCAAAAAACTTGTTTACCATCTTACAAAAAAAAACATGTCTTTAACCATTAAAACCTAACATCAACTATTTTTCATGAAGTCTACCTCCAACCATTCTGTCCCAAACTATGAACTATTTTATCTTTTTTTTTCGGCCTTTTATCACGAGCTTCAGGATTGTGTTCTGTATTTGTAGGAAGTAGTGTGGTTTCACTTTTGGAGCAGCAAGTTGAAGTAACATCTGGAAGACGTGTTGTTGGTGCTGATATTGTGCTGTCAACGGAAATGACTGCTGGTTGTTTGTTTAAAGTAGGTGATGGAGAGTTGGGTAAAACGATTGTGATATTTGGGTTTTCATCTCCTTTGTATGCTTTTACAATGCTAACTTTCGTTTATTTTACTCCACGGAAAAGTACATCATACAAACGAACAAAGGCTACAACTTCTGACAATTCCAAGGCAGCTGCAATGTCATTGTGAATGTCCATACCCTGTCACATGTTATGATGGTTATGCAATGTCTTTATAGCAAATACTTATTACAATTTTGAAGATAATAGCTAGTTATACTTACAATTTCTTCATTGGTTTTCACTTCTTCCGGATTGAAAAGTAAAAATTTTTCTATGTGGGGTGTAGTTAGCATGGCTTCAATACTTCCACTTTCATCAGTAATTGTAACAGTTGCCCGTATCCTAAAATTAAGGTGTTTGTATGAGAAATAGATTTATATTAATAATATGAGAAATAGTAAGGAAAGTGAATTTACATTGCCTCGATGTCTGATACAACTTTACAAGAAGGACACATGACAACCCATGTGGTGTCAGCTTCTAAAGCTTTATGACAATTCGAACATCCAGTGTACGAGAATCTTCTTCCTTTTGCAGAAAGTCCAAGTCTCCCTTTAATCCAAGCGGTCTTGAACTGTTTTTTAAAGATGAAGTTACTTTGCAACTACAACATTTACATATACCTTTTGTCCAATATAACAGTAAACTATGCATTTAAGTGTAGTAAGTTACAATGTTTGGAGAAGCAGTCACGACCCCAATGGAAAGTATAACATCATCCGGAGGATATGGGAGTAACAGTTCAGTATTTTTATGGTTTTCCATACGAAGTAACTCATCAATTTCGGTTCTGTTGTCCAGGTACCTATTCATTAGTAATATATAAGCACACATATGATAATATGGAAATTATATACTTATATTAAAATTTGAAAAGTATTTATGTATATAAATGTTTACCACTTTCGTAATTGCAAGTCCTCAGAAACAGAAACAGGTGGATTGATCATGAATGCAGTGTTTGGTCTCGTTGTAAGGGAAATAGCTATAACATAAAGTCTCAATTTTAAACATTGTAAACTTATATAAAAATACCTAAAGAGGGGCTTGCATATATACCATATATATAGGTATATATGATATATATTAAAAAATGTTGCTTACAGTTGAAGGTTGTGACTTTTAGCCTTAAACCAAAGATCAGTGGTGGTTGTCTTATGGCTTCCAACATTCTCCCTTCGTGTTCATCAAATTCTTTCCACAATGTGACATGTAACAGTATTTTTCTACAATAAACGTACGGAAATATAAAGTTCAATAATAAAGTAAAACTGAAAAATGAAAATACGTTATATTGCATACTCTTCATTGATAATGATTATATCACGTCTTGTTACAAGGTCAACACCGTGTTCCTGACTTGGTAAACATTGCAAGACAATACCCCTAACGTCTGCAATTGAAAAATTAATGAAGAAGTGTGCAAGTACAATTTACTCGGAAAGATAAATTATTAAATATTAGATGTAACCTTACTTTGCAGATTTTCTGATTCAGCATAGGCATGTAGTCTGCTGAATTTTGTAAATTCCAACGACCAAGGTATAGTTGTTGGAATACGTTCCGGTATTTCTTCCACAAGAGTACTTTTGGTCAAAATCCATGAAAAAGGATAAGAACCAACAGAAAACTTAGGATCATTTCGTATAACAGTAGCGCCGGAGATGTTATACTTGTGGAATTGGCTGAAGATGGTTGCGTAGTGACCCAAATAATCACTAAAAATGAGCCCTGTCATTGTCGTTCCATCCTGATCCATCATCATAATTCTCTTGTATTCGCTATCGTCTTTGGTCATATGTTGCACATGATGACATTCTAAGATCTGAACGGTGGCAGTCCAATGTTTTCCATGTGTTTGGTCGATTTGCATCACTGGGAATATACGTCTATCCATTTTAGCTTTAACTGTGAACAATAAATATTGCTTATTTCAGTATAATATATAATAGCATAAATATATAAAGATTATCAGGTACGTAAGAAGAATAAATCATAACTTTTAATCAATGTGAAACCAAATAAAAAGTAAGTTAGTGATATCATAAAAAACAAACCTGAAGATGCAGACATGATGGTGTTTGTATGAAATAAATACTAACTTCTACTGTTATATATATATAGGGTAAAAAACAACTACGTGTTAAGTTAGAATCAAAGATGATGTCACTGTACAAAGGTAAAATGGAGTCTAATCAGGCGGATAATGAATGGTAACGAACGTGGCATGACCTTAGAATTTGATGTATGTCGTGGCGTTAATACAAAGATGATTAAAAATTGCAATTATCCTCAAAAAATAGAACTGTTTGTTAATTATCTACGTTTGCGGTATTTTTAAATACTATACATCAAACTTAATTTTATAATATATAAGGACATACGTTAAAGATGCCATTTTTTCTTAAAGATAAAATGTTTTTATAACTGCAAGGTCGGAGAATTAATTATTAATAATATAAAAGTGTATGTCCGGGCGTTTAAAAGTAACATATATTTGTTGCCATCGGAAAAATAATAAGGTATTTTATTATATTTGGTGCGAGTGAACAACTTGTAAAGATAATATTATTTTGAAAGTTGTAGATATTTACTGCTTGCCAACAATAGCAACATGCGATAAATAAAGAATCTTTTCTATATTGATAGCAAAAATCACGTTACGTTTATAAATTTTGAAAAAAATAGTAAAAATTGTTGCTACATTGGCATAATGATTAAAAAATCTAAGCAAGTTATTACAATAATTGGCATAATGATTAAAAATTTGAAGCATCTTATTACGATATTTTTAAAATCGGTTTGAACCGGTCGGAATATACAACTTGTTTTTATGTTTATTTTTGAGGTTTGAATTTTTAGACGTCAAATTATTGATTTATGTAGACAGGAAAATATTAAAAAACAAAATATATATATATATATATATATATATATATATATATATATATATATATATATATATATATATATTATAGAAACCGGTTGACCCGACGGTCGAACCGGTTAAACCGATTGAACTGGGAAAAGTAACCATACCTGTTTGACTAAATATCGGTAAAGAAATGCAAGTAACTTCCTATTATATTTACAAAATGTGTGCAAATAAATTGCACATTTGGATTTAAACCTTACTTCAACAACCTTTATTTATTGTCCCTGTCAAATAAAAAGACATTGATAAAGTTAGTTTAAGTTTTTCTTAAATTTAAATAATGTCTTTCTGATTTTGGTATGTAATAGCCAATAAAATAATAATACCTATAACGTATATGTTTTGAGTGCTCTAGTAATGCATTAATGACGTAGCCATGTGTAAGCAAGCTCTTATTTATCTGATGTGCCCTGCAAAAAAGATAAGGATACTGATACGACCTCGTTCCCAACAGAAGACTTTTTCTTCTAATTCCTTTGTATGCAGATAGTGTTAGATCATGTTTCCTTTTTCTTAGGACCTTAATGTTACCCATTTACTTCCGGTAACATGTTCACGTTTCCAATTCCTAGATTAGGTAGTTTTATTTCCTTCATTATAAATAGCTTGTCCATTATCAGATTAATAGAGAAGAAAATTGTTTCAGTTTGTGTTCTTAAATTTTGTTAGTAGAAAGGAGATTAGCCATCTCAGAATTTGGCTTTATCAATTGGTGCTTTCATATTCGTCTTCATGCCTCCCAAAACCGAGTCAGCTTCCACCTCCGACACCACCAAGGCCACACCCGACAACCCAATCGCCGCCCTTCATGCCCACATGCTTCATATCGCTCAAATTACCACCGATACCAATGCTAAACTCGATAAATTGATCCAACTCATGACCGACCAACGCGTCAATCAACCTCCACCGCCGCCGCCACCACCACGCGATCCAAATCCGATCCTCCGACCACCGAAAATTCTCCTGCCCACTTTTGACGGTTCCAACCCACTTGATTGGATTTTTCAAGCCGAAAATTACTTCACCTACTACAACATTCCTCCGCCTCAACGCCTTTCCTTGGTTGTCTTCTACTTTACCGGTGATGCTTTAAGCTGGTACAAACATCTTGCCAGCAACAACCTTCTTGGCACTTGGCCGGAGTTCACCCGTGCACTTGAACTGCGTTTGGGCCCATCTACATATGAAAATCATCAAGCAACCTTGTTTAAGCTTCGACAGTCCACCACCGTCTCCGCCTACCAGACCGAGTTTGAAACAGTTAGTAATCGGGTCATCGGTCTCTCTTCCGTAGCCTTGCGTACCTGCTTTATCTCCGGTTTACGTCCCGACATTCAATCGGAAATTGTCATCCATAACCCGCAAACACTTCATGCCACTTATGGTATCGCCAAATTAATTGAAGACAAACTCCATGATAACCTTCTTCCTACTGCTGGTAATTCGGAACCACCACCACCGACTCTACTTTTGTTGGCTGCCTCTCCTTCCACTTCCCCACCACTTCCGATCAAGAAACTAAGTCCCACCGAAATGCAACAACGAAGGGCTGAAGGCCTATGTTACAACTGTCCCGCCAAGTATCAACCCGGCCACCAGTGCAACCCGCCCAAGTTCCTTCTTCTTCAATCAGAAAACGAGCCACCATGGCCTTACCTGCAACAAACTAACTTTGGCCTTGCGGACAAGGCCATTTCTTAGGGGCGGAGTATTGATACGACCTCGTTCCCAACAGAAGACTTTTTCTTCTAATTCCTTTGCATGCAGATAGTGTTAGATCATGTTTCCTTTTTCTTAGGACCTTAATGTTACCCATTTACTTCCAGTAACATGTTCACGTTTCCAATTCCTAGATTAGGTAGTTTTATTTCCTTCATTATAAATAGCTTGTCCATTGCATCAGATTAATAGAGAAGAAAATTGTTTCAGTTTGTGTTCTTAAATTTTGTTAGTAGAAAGGAGATTAGCCTCTCAGAATTTGGCTTTATCAGATACCCTTTAGAATCGTCTCTTGCACATCTATCATCTGTTGTGCGATTGTTTTCATATGTATCTATTTAAAAATGTGGATGAAAAAAAGGTGCTTACTATAACTTTCGAAATTTAGTTGTTTGGAAGAAGTTGTAACTTTCCTATAACTGTTTTGCTGTTTGGTACAAAAGTAACAATGTGCTTCTGTCAATCAAGATAAGAGATGATGATTGTGATGGTTCAACGATATTTGTAACTGGTCACCTGCAAAGAAAGAACAAGTGTAAACGTGAAAAACTAAATTGAAAGTAAACCTAAAAGAAAATAAAATTTACAATAATGGAAGTTCACGTGTAACAATGTTGAGCTCGTTGTAAAACGTCCCGGTAGACAATGTTTTTAGTTGTTGTATTGTTGCAAGAAGAAGAAAAGCAGTCTTTTATGAAAATTTTTATATTTTCAAATTTTTTTGCACGTGAAAGTGCAACATAGAGTTGTCCATGTGAAAACACAGACTCCTTCAAATAAACACCAACAAAGTCTAAAGTTTGGCCCTGGGCCTTGTTTATAGTCATCGCAAAGCATAATCTAATTGGGAATTGAAACCTGGAACAGTATATTGTTCACCACTTGGTGGTTGCATTGGAATTCTATGAATAAAAACTTCTTTTCCAGCAAACTGTCCGTAACTTATCTCTGCACGTATTACGTTTCTTTGAAAGTCTTTGCAAAAAAGCCTAGTACCATTACACAAGCCTTCAAATGGATTCATATTTCTTAACAAAATAATAGGCGAATTATACTTTAAAATGAGTTTATGAGGTGGCATACCATTTGGAGTCAAAGAGTGCAAAAGGTCTTCGTATTGAGCCTGATCATTTGGATCAGCGGTTTCATCAAAACTAATATACTCAGTCTCAGGACCTGGAAATTTATTTATTAAAATGTCATTAATTTCATCAACAAACAAATTTTTGGTGGTCAAAATAACACGATTAGAAGCAAAAGGAAAATTCTCAGCATTAACATTAATAGTCGGATAAACAAAATCTATAAGTACATTTAGGTCAGGCATGTTGTGGGAAGTCTCAATTAGCATTGATGATGGAAGATTAACCATGTAATCGTCTGTTAAACATTCAACTCCAATTGCCAACAGTAAGAAGAAAATCTGTAAAAGTTGGATCAAGTCGTGCACGCATATTCTCTTTTAAATGTAATTGACAAAGAGATGGCCATAAGTAAGAATTAGTCAAACAACCATCAATAATTTGTGCTTTAGTACCCTTACGAACAACTGGAAGTGTCTGCCTAAAATCTCCACCAAGTACAACTACCTTACCTCCAAAAACATGTCGTGAATCCATTAAATCTTGAAGTAAAGAGTCCAAAGCCTGTATTGCTGTTTTTTTTTTTTGCCATTGGAGCCTCATCCCATATGATAAGTTTGCAGCTTTTAATCAATACTGCTAAAGAACTTTGTTTGCTAATACTACAGGACGCACTATCAACCACATCAAGCGGAATTTTAAATCGGGAATGAGCTGTCTACCTCCAGGAAGCAGAGACGCAACGATACCCGATGTTGCTGTAGCCAAAGCAATATGTCCTTCAGATCTTATTTTAGCTAACAAGGCTCTGTATAGAAATGTTTTTCCAGTACCACCTCGACCATCAATAAAAAAAGCACCAGGTTTATTAGAATCAACTCTCCCAATTATCGTATTAAAAGCAAGTTGTTGTTCTTTGTTAAGAGTATGCATAGCCATTAAATCTTCCTCAGAAACATGAATACTTTTTTCTACTTTAATTTCTTTTGTTTGGTCTTCAAAAAGCGAATTATCATTATCATCAGGTAACACATTAAAGTCACGAAGACGCTTTCCCATCGATTGTAAAAAGTAATCAATCTGGTGAAATGCATAGTGTCTACTCTGAGAAAGTGTTTCTTTATTACATCTTAAGATATCTTCTAACATTGAATCTTCAAAACATGTCAACAACTGTCGAGGATTGTTTGGACATGTATAAACTAATACTGTTGCAAAAAGTCTACGTAGTTCATATGGCATGTGAAATGTTGATGCTTCTTCTAAGCATAGTTGTTGAGTGTTGTCATCAAG